GGGGGCGGGTCCCTCTCAGTGCCCTGCCGGGAAAGCCGGAGCCCGGGCGGAGGCCCCTGCGTGCGCAGCGCCGGAGACGGCCCCCGGCACCAGCTGCAGCGCAGGGCAGAAGCCCAGGCCTGCCAGGGCTCGTTCGGGAAGGGAATGACCCCGAGCGCTCCCATGCCGGAGGAATCTCCGCCAGGACTTGCAGCCCGGGCCCGGGAGCAGACAGCCACATCGCTCCTTGGGGGCAGATTCAGCGCGGCGCTGCCCAACGGGAACCCCCATCCACCGGGCTGACCTCCACAGGCCAGGCCCGCGGGCGACCGAGGGGGACACTCCTCTTGCCACCACCTTTTCTAGAGAGGGGCCCGGGGCATCGTGACCTCTGGTCTGTGCAGGGGCTTCAGCTGCCAAGGCCTCCCCTGGGACAAGCAGCAGGGACCCAAGAATAACGAATTGCTGAGATCAGACCTCGAGAGGCCCTCCCAGCAGGGCCGGGGGTGGCCAACCCTTTCTGGGCAAAGAGCCAAGACAGCAGTGGGTCAGCCACGAAGAGACGGGGCAAAGTTGTCGAGCAACCTTTTGCCCCTTTAAAAGGAGCCTCTGGTCATGTTTAGTTGAGCAAAAAAAAAAAGCTCTGCCCTTTTAAGAAAACTCATTTAAACGTGTTTTGAGGCTTTTTCCCTTACAGGCTGCCCTGTTCCAGCCCCCAGGATCTCTCCCGCTTCCATGACTTTGCAAAGATACTCTGGGGAGGCCTTTCATCAGGCCCTGGGGACACCTGCTGTAGCTAAGATACTTGTTAGCCTGGGATCCTACCTCACTGGCACCGGCACTCCCGACGTCAGACACCCAACACCTTTCAGTGAGAACCCAACACAGACGTCAGTAAGCCCCTCTGCCATTTCCACATTCCCTGCCCCCACCGAGGAACGACCCTGCCCTGTCCCTGCTCGTCGGCTTCCTTCCAACGTAGCTGGAGAATGGTCCCTTGTTTCCCTCCATTCCCTAGCTGCTTTGAGCTTGGCCTGTCCAATTCCGGCTCAACAGAACGATGTGCTTTGTTCTATTCGCCCTTTGGACGCTGGCCTAGTGTCCCTGGTCTGTAGGACTCTGTGGAGTTCCAGAACACTGACCATCTCCTGGGGAAGCCAGGGAGGTCTCTCGCCAAACGTCCTCTCTTTCCTATGCACGTGGGATAATTCCTCATGTCCTTAATAATGTTTCTCGGAAAAGCTGCCGACTTGCTGGAATTGGTTTCCCTTAGACTTGCTTCCCACAAGACCCTACCTACCAGCTCCCTGAGTTTGCTAATCGGCCTCCTTGGAATCCACTGCCTTTAGTCTGCTGTTCTCCCTCCTACCGCTCCTGAGGGTCAGGAACACTGCCAGGACCCTAAGGGGGAGATGGCAGTGGATAACTGGGCTTCCCCTGACGTGGGGAGGCTGGTTTTAGGGGTGGGAGAGGCAATAACCACCCTGTCAACTAACGTCCACACCAAGACCAGGCACTTCTGGGGCAGAGGAGTAACTGCTGCGAGTGTATCGAAGGGCAGATCTGGCACGGGAGAGTAGGGACGACCTTTGGACCCGGCGATGGGCTTGGAGACGCAAGGGTTACCAGGGGGCTGACAGACAGGGCGATGGGCTTGGAGACGCAAGGGTTACCAGGGGGCTGACAGACAGGGCGATGGGCTTGGAGACGCAAGGGTTACCAGGGGGCTGACAGACAGGGCGATGGGCTTGGAGACGCAAGGGTTACCAGGGGGCTGACAGACAGGGCGATGGGCTTGGAGACGCAAGGGTTACCAGGGGGCTGACAGACAGGGCGATGGGCTTGGAGACGCAAGGGTTACCAGGGGGCTGACAGACAGGGCGATGGGCTTGGAGACGCAAGGGTTACCAGGGGGCTGACAGACAGGGCGATGGGCTTGGAGACGCAAGGGTTACCAGGGGGCTGACAGACAGGGCGATGGGCTTGGAGACGCAAGGGTTACCAGGGGGCTGACAGACAGGGCGATGGGCTTGGAGATGCAAGGATTACCACGTGGCTGACAGACAGGGCGATGGGCTTGGAGATGCAAGGCCCCTTCCTGTGGCGGCCTCCTCAACTCCTGCTCCTGGCGGTCTGAGCCCCGCCACCCGGTTTATTTCTCTGCTTAGGGTGGCGGTGGGCAGTCGCGAGGCCCCACCCGCAGCAGAACGCTGGGAAGAGGCTGGCGGGCGCAAAGGCGTCTGCTGGAGCAGGGCGAGTGGGGCTGGGACCAGCCGTGGCAGGCCTGGATTTCCCAGAAAGGCTTTGGGCAGGACAGCAGAGAACACACGCACCACACAGCTTCCCACGCGTCCAGGTTCCGGGGGGTGGGATGCCCGAGGAATGGAGCCCAGTGGCGGCCCCCAGATACACAAGCAGGAAAAGGAGCCCAGGACATTTGGTGCAGCAGTCAGAGCTGCCCCAGATCGGCACAGCAGCCCCTTCCTGCCAGGCCCTGGCTGCCCCTGCCCTGTGGTAGGGACCCCGCAGGCAGCAGGAGCAGCTTTCGCCTCCACATCCCCCACGGGCACAATCGACCTTGCCCTCCCGTGGGCAAACATACTGGGTTCAGAAGCACCGTCAGGAAGAGCTCGCCGCCCCGAATGCTTCTGTCCAGCTCCTTGGAGCCCCCCGGGTACTCGTTGTAGAAGATGGTGTGAGTGAACAGCCCGCACGTCTGGCGCGGCAGCACCTGGGGAAAGGGACCGTTAGATCGTGGCCAGCGCGGGAGGACAGGTTTCCAGGACTCCGACCGTCCCTTTGCTCACATGCTCGTCCTGCTCTGAGTGCCGGTGGGGTCTCGGCTGCGTGCTCCCAAAGGGGCTGACCCCCCATCTACCACGCAGGTTGGGGGGTGCTGCAGACATGGCCACGGTGCCTCTGTGGGCCTGGGGTCAGAGCATCACAAGGCGGATTTGCTGCCATTTGGGAGCTCACGTCCTGGAGCCACTGCCCGACTGATCAGACGCACAGCTACCTGCAGGTTCCTCCCCCTTTGCCTGGTGGCTTCGGGCAGCGTCAGCGCTCGAGGGGCTGGGTGGAGCTCCTCAACACTGGCACCTCGACGCCGCCCAGAGCCAGCCCGCTGGCAGCACTCACCATGATGCTGTCATGGACGAAGCCGCGCCGGTACCGTGCAGGCCGCAGGTGGGGGTACTCCTCCGTGCTGGTCACCTGGATGCTCCAGACGGATTTCCAGGCCTCATAGAGCTGGGTGTGGATGGGATAAACCCCCGAGTGATGGGGAGCCACGGCGTAGCCCAAGTCTGTGGGGATCCCGTGTTCCTGGAAGCAGAACCCAGCTCTCGCTCAGCGCCGAAGCCGCGCCGGTACCGTGCAGGCCGCAGGTGGGGGTACTCCTCCGTGCTGGTCACCTGGATGCTCCAGACGGATTTCCAGGCCTCATAGAGCTGGGTGTGGATGGGATAAACCCCCGAGTGATGGGGAGCCACGGCGTAGCCCAAGTCTGTGGGGATCCCGTGTTCCTGGAAGCAGAACCCAGCTCTCGCTCAGCGCCGAACGGCC